ATTCTTTGCTTTCATTACTGGTTTCCATGCTTTGACTAAATATGTTCGAATCCTTAGAAGATGAAATGTCGTTTGATGAAGTATTCACATACTTCTCATAGGCTTCGTGAATTTGCTCCTTTGAAAATGTACTCGACTGATACATTTTTCCTTTGCCTTCAAGCCAATGATCAATGTTCTTCCTTGAAGTTATCCCTTTTTCATGTGATATTTTCAAAGTTTGTTTCTTCGTATGATTAGCAAAATTTGGCTTTTGAGGAACAAAATCAACTTTTTGGATTGGTTAGGAAAGATTAAGCATAAGATGTATCTACAGTTGATTTAAAATGTTGACGTTGAGAGAATTTTTGAGTTGTCTTTGATTTATTTGAAAATTTTCTTGGAAGATTAGTTTCTGAAACTTTCGAAAACTTTGGTTGTTTATTCACTTCAGACCTTGAATGATTTGATTGTGATGAAGGTTGATTATTTGTTGAAAAAGAGGAATTTTTAGCTTTGAAAACATTTTTGTGTGATTGTGATTCAAACAAGTATTTATTTGTTTGAGCGGGATTTTTCTTTTTGTTTGAAAAAGTTGTTGAATATGTTTTTGTCATTTCATTTGACATCTTTTGAGACTCAATAATCTGCCAAAATATTTTCTTCCTAGCTTGTCTTTTTGAAATGTTATTTTCCTTCGAAAATTTGTCAATTTGATCTTTGAATTCCTTGGAGTTTAATTTAACAACATTTTCATTTTCCATTACAACTTGTTTTGAAATCTCTTTTTCAATTTTTGATTTTTCCACCCATTTTCTTTGTGGTTTTTGACGTTGAAAAACATACGAATTCTTTGTTAGATTGTTTTCAACTGTGCTTTGATTTGCAAAGAAACCTTCATCAGTTGTTTTCAAATTATCTTCTTCAACTAACTTCTTTAATTCTGGTTTGATATTCTCAACATTTCCAGTAGTTACGAATACTTGATTTGGAAAAATGATATCATCTGTACACTTGAAATTTGGATAAACCACAGTATTCGTTTCAAGATAGTGAACACCTTGTTCATTCATTACTTTTTCGAACTTCTGTGTATCACCATACACTTGATCAACCACAATTCGAGGAATTTTTTCTTCCTTTGAAGATTTCTTTTTCTTCGAAATTTGCTCTTCATTTTCATCATCGTTATCATCAGTTTGACTATCTCTGATATCCACGAAGTCCAAATCACAAACTTTCAAAGTTGAGGGTATATCAGTTTCTTTCGTAACCATCAAGTCCTTAACTTTTTCTTTCCCTTTAAATGTTGATGCAACATTAACAATAGACAACTGGGAACAATCCACATCCTCAAGATCACTAATTTCAATAATATTGTCAGAATTATCTTCAATATCGGCAAAATTAGATTGAGAATCCGATGTTGACTTCTCAGTCTTTTTCAAAATTTGAATTTGTTCAGATTTAGTCAAAGTATCATTCACTATGTTAACTAATTCATTCGTATCAAGACATTCATCAATTTTGACAATTCCATATTTATATCTGTCATCAGGAACTTTGTCAAATTCAGCTATTATCTTCTCACAATCATACGAAATATTATCTACCTTAGCTCTTTCGTATGCTAGAAAAGGTAATAATTTTCTATGTTGCTCTTTACTTATTTCACATGAATGATGTAAATCAGTTAATTTGCCATAAAGTATCTTAGCAGGAAATACAGTATATGTTTCTTTGTGCTAGTAAAAGTTTGACTTCATTTGATAAAGTATCCCTATCACACATAATATTCGTTATCTGTAATTCCAAACAATCAACTTTACTTATTTTCATGTCTAATCTCTTTTTGGTCTCTAATAACTCCATGGACAACTTGTTGGCCTCATTGCTAGCAGACACAACAATTGAATCAAAATAAGTAACAGTCTCATCAAAAGATATTAGTTCAGAGTCATAAGCATGTGTAGGAATATTAAAAGATTCGAGAATATTACGTACCTTTGTTGTCATTGGAGATTTGTCTGCTGCCTTGGATACGAAGCATCTTTCTTTCACTTCGAATTCCTCATCATCTGAGTCCTCCACCATCTTCGCATACATTGCTCCATGTGTTGGATTCTTCATTTCTTCATCGTCTGATCCGGATGACCAGATTTGATAAGTTCCATCCTCCTCCTGTTCACCCTTTGCGACCGGTGACAAATTCTTAGTTTTCGCACGAACCTCCTCAAGCCTCTCTGCATAATAAGCCTCATCTTTTACTTTATTCTTCCTCTCATCCTTCTTCCGAAGCATACAATCATTCGCAAGATGATTGGCTCCATTGCAATAATGACAATCTATTCCAGCATCACCTTTCAGTTTCTTCTCACTCTTTCCTTCAGACACCTTCGAATCTTTCTTCTCAACTCACAGCACTTCCTTTTACCTCAACAAGCTTAGCCTTCGGATTGAACGACTTTTTAAAAAACTTCTTAACACGATTATTCGAGTAAAATGCTATTGCCTCATCATCCGAATTCATGATGAATCCCTCTTCTTCCTCTGAATCATCATTTTCAGGTTCTTTCTCAGATATCTTGGACACAAGTGTCAATGGACCTCCCAAATTTAGCTTCGATTCCTCAGCTATTTCATTAACCTCAATTTCGTGTGTCTTCAACTTATTGTACAAATCATTGAGAGTTGATGTATCAAAACTTTGCTGATTCTTCACCATCATACTCACGCTTCTCCATTCTTTTCGAAGACCCATCACAAAAAGATGAGATTGAATCCATTGAAGTCCTGGTAATTCCATAGCGGTTGCATCGATAGATTAACTCGTTCAGACGATCATAGTAAACTTCAATTGTTTCACCTTCTTTTTGTCTGAAATCTTTCAGTTCGACCAAACACTGTTTGACTGAATTGATTTTCGTCTTTTCACTTCCTTGAAACTTATCTTTCAGATTGTTCCAGATCTCCTTAGCAGTTGTACAACTCCTTACGTAATTGTACACAACTGGAGGTAAAGGTCCTCGCAATTCCCTCATACATCTCTTCTCCAGTTTCTTCAGACGATCAGTTTGATTTTCAACTCCAGAACTTGTAGAAGATGATCCAATTGCTTGAACATTCACTGGAACATTGACATTTCCAGTGATACATGACCATAATTCTTCATCAAGACCATTCAGATAATCCTGCATACGATCAGCCCACTGATCATAATATTCAGGGATTAGCATTGGAATTTTGGTCGATGATCCTAACAGATGAGAAAACGAGGTCATTGAATTGAGATTGAAGCTCGCCATTGTTGTACGGAAGATGATTTTGAAAATTTTGAAGAAAATTTGGAAATTTGAAAACAAACTAGTTGAATCAAATCGGAATTTCAAGAAGAACACTCAATTCAACAATTCAATGCAGAATCGAATCACAAACTAAATCTAGACAAATTTTTCACTATCAAAAAGTGCGGAAACTTTTGAACCAAAAAGTTGATTCAAAAACTTTTTGAATAGGTGAAAATCAGATCACAGATGTGATTCCTGCTCTGATACCAACTGATGAATCAATTAATCAAGTATAAAATGAATCAGAGTATAAAATCAAGTAAGAATGCGAGATTGAACAACGGATGTAAATATGATTTTGTATCAGCTCTATTACGTTTTCGAATGTTTACAGAGTACAAAGACAGGTCTGTAAAAACTCTTATCTAACTCTAGTAAATATCCCATATATATAGATATATATATATATATATATATATATATATATATATATATATATATATATATATATATATATATGGAACAGAAAGCGTATAAAAAATATACTAAGGCATAGACACTTAAACTTCGAATAAAAGCGTCTTAGTAAAATAGATTACAAAATATTCGAAAAGTGCAAAATACACTTCGACTAATTACAACATTTTGACCCTTACAAAATTAGATAAATTTTAATCACATTATCTAACTTTTTTCATTTTTTTTCTTTTATTAAACTGAAGTATATCCATCTTTAATAAATCTTAATTCATCATTTTTGTGCTACTCACATATTTGTTAATGGAAAAACATGAAATTAAAAAAAACAAAAAAACAAAAAACAAAAAACCAAAACCGAACCGAAAAACACACAGGGAAACACCGTGAGACAGTTCCGAAAAAAGACCAGACCTCCAAGACCGACCACAAAAGGCTGGACCGTTTCAAGACAGACTCAAGACCGGTTTAAGACCACCAATATGCATCTCTAACTTAAAGAGTATGACAGCCCTCATAAATGGGGTCAAGCAAATTGGGGCCTATGGAGTTCAATAAGGCAGTCATACAACTTTTCCACATGGAGACACTCTAATTAATGAGTAGGGCTTTAGCCATTAAACCATTGTTGGGACTTGGAAGTGAAACATGCGGAAGCCATAACTGATCGAATCAATGACTTTAGGAGTTTGATTAGCTACTTTGATACCATTCGTTAGGTCCAATATGGACAATACATGTTAGTTTGTAAAGAATTACTACATTGCTTGTGGAATGTAAATAAAAACTTTATAAGCATATTTTGATGTGTTTCATTGTAGGTCATACTTATTAATCAAATTTATAATAACTATCACTACTACGAAATAAGAACTATTAATTCTTGCAATTCAATTCCAATCACTTTAAGTAAATATAGATTTTAAGCTTTCTTGAAATGGGTGTTGACAACATGTTTGTTCATGATTTGGTAAAATTAGTTTTCATCTTATTTTCTTCTTTGATTCAACTTAAACTGCATTTTTTGATATTACTTGTAAAAACTTTAAAATACTTGTACAAATGCATTAGAGCATTGTAAATATAATAATTTATTATAATAGCTTTAGACATGTACATTTCGTATTATTAATTCTATACTATGCATTTTAATTCCAATAAAAGAAGTTCAAATAATTTTTTCTAAACAAAATGACTCATACAAATACATCCACACAACATTTACAATTTCGAATAAATCATGACAAATTACTTCAACCAGTTTGCCAATTACACATTACACAAAAGCGAATTACAAATTTTGCTTTTTTCAAGGGTTAATATTGTTTCAATTTTCAAACCGATGAATAATACAGAATGTTCACTTTGGCCCCTTATAGTATTATTAATGTAAAATATATACATTAATCTTCATTTGAAAATATTAATAGAAATAAAGATCAAATTTGTAAATATATTTTCCACTATGGAAAATACAAGTATGAACTTGCGCATCACATTATCACCTTAACACTTAAACTCCTGTATATTACAAACCACCATTAGTTGAGTTAGTATAAACTAAAAAATCGTAGCTAAAATGTCCAAAAGCTCCTTGTGTTTTCTACATATTTACAAAATTAACATTTACCTCGAAGAGATTTCTCATAGTTGTGAAGCTGTGACATAAATCCAGAGTTTGGAGAAGCCACACTTCGTTTACTTTTCACAAGTTGTAAAGCTTCAGATACACTCATACCATGTTTTTTCATCAGATATGCCACAACAATAGTAACACTAGTTCAAAAAAAAAATATTGGTCACTAAATTATTATCATGAAAATGTTTTACAAAGTCAACTCATCTAATTTGTAGTTTCTTAAGCAGATGTGAAATGTTTATTAAAAAGAATACATAAGTAAATAAAAAAAACATATAACGTGACAATTGACATTAACATTTAAAGAAATGAAAATATTAGGCATGTAGGTATGAAAATATCATACAATCACAAGGAATTTAATACTAAAATGAAATATTATTGAACGTTTTAGTTATAAAATAATAAAGATTTAAAATATATATACAATAAGAGGAGTACAACGAAATATTATTGAATGAAGAGGGTCAAATACTCAAAAAAAAAAAAAAAAAAAAAAAAAAAAAGAGGCAATTATAACATTCTGTGTCGATAGAAATTGCTAAAAATATAAAAGAAAGAAAAGAAAAGAGATAAAATTACATAAATAGTCTGTGTGTTTTATAAAAAGTCATAAGTTATGTTTCTTTTTTACGAGGAAGGTCCCTGTGGTTTCAAATTCTTGCGTGATTGGTCTCTAACCCGTATAAAATGACTGTTATACCCTTTATTTATTTTATCATTTTTTTTTTTGTTTAAATACAATTTATAGTAAGATTAAATATTAACCCTGCTTTGCAGGTGATAAAACCTGTCAACATACGAATGTTTAGGGACCAAACCTGCCAATATATGAAAGTCTTGTGGCCAAAGTCTGAAACCCAAAAAGTCTAGGAACCAAACCTGCCAATATATTAATGTCTAGGGACCAAACCTATCAATATACGAACGTCTTTGTGGTCAAATTCTGAAACCCAAAAAGTCGAGGGACCAAATCTGCCAATATATGAAAATCTTGTGCCCAAAGTATGAAACATACGTAAGTGTTGTGGGTGATGGTGGAGAGAAACGGGTGGGTGTGGTGGGGTCCTTTGTAATTTAATATTATTATAAATTGTAATTAACAAAATAAAAGATAAAATAAATAAAAGGTATAACAGTCATTTTATATATAAAGCACAGGGACCATTTATGTAATTTTGACAAAAAATATTTGCCTTGCAATGGTAATTACACTAATGAGCAATCACATTTTAATAAATAAATTAATTCTACCATATTGAATGTTTATCACATATATTGGCAGATGAATAATTAAAAAAAAAAAAAAAAATTAGAATGTTAAAAATCACCTTCTGGATCTTCCCACAAAGCAATGTACTAATACGCCACCTGTTCTTTTAGCTTCTTCAATGAAACTAAAACACTCATCGAAGAACTGTGCAATATTTACATGTTCTCTATCTGGAACTAAATCAAGAAGAAAATATTTACACCGTTACTAAATTGAACTAAATCAAAAAGACTAAATCAAGAAGGGCATTTATGTCTTTTGCACATACAAGATATCGAGAGTGAGTTCCTATCATACCATCAACAATTTTGTAGGTGAAATCATTAGGGAATGTAGGAGGTAGTGAATTGGCAACAGTTAAAATGTGTGTAACATTCGAGCTTTTCAAAAGGCTCTTGTTATTAGCAGCTCCAATAGAACCCAAATAGAGACCCTAAATTTTAAAAGAAAAAAAAAAAAAAAGTCGAAGATTAGTAGAATAGATCTAATTTCACTACAGATGTCATTTCTTTTTTACTTAATGGGACACAACTTAATCTATTAAGCTATATATGAGTGTTTCTCTTTTACTTAATGCAGAAAGCACAATTTTTTACTGATAAAAGTCAGGGAAATTAGACATTAAGACTTAATGTTATCTTATAGCACTTAATGGAGAAAAAGAAGCAAATTATTTACCTCTTCAATAAGAGCTGGAACATTATCATCTTTAACATACTTAGTGGCATACATTACTCTAAGAAGTGCAGCAATGCGCTCCTTGTAGAGGTTATCAAATTGATCCATTGCATACATGAGTAATCTCCTTCTAGCTTTCTAACAATTAATCAGAGAATTCAGAATGGGTGTTTCCAAAACTAAACAATTGTTTGGATACGTGAGCTCTTGATAATCCTTGAAATAGATTCAATCACTATTGCCACAAGAAACCATACCCACGAAAGAAAAACCAAAAATGAGAAAAATTAGGGCTAAAACGAGGCATCGAGACTTGAGATTCAATAAAACGCAGAATCGTTATCGATATGTGAAAACCGTTTCAAATCGAAGGTTTTAACAGGAAATTGGGGAATTAAACGGAGAAGATTAGTGAAGAAAATAGTCAGATAACTCAAAATTTATAAATTTATAAATACGACACCCATGTGGTTCACATCTAGGGTGGATAAGAAAAGTATATATAACCATTTAATTATTGTCAAATCAATAACAATGTAGAAAGAATAAACGTTCTGATATACTTACGAGTTGATGAAGATCAGCAGCAGTTCGTCATGCGTGAATGCTCAGGAAAGCGTTTGTATTTGATTATATGAAATACGAGAATGAAGTATATTCGAAGTCGAATGGAAAATATGTTTTTTTGGGGCGAGGGCCCATAAGTGCCAAAAATTACACTGTTTTTTGGGTTTGGAGATGGAGCAAGATTTATGTTATTTGGTTTTCGCGGGAGGCCCATACCCAATACTCACGGAGCAATGTTTTTATATTTAATCGATTAATTTAAACTAGTGAATAAGCATCTCGTGAATCACGAGTATATATATATATAGATATATATATATATATATATATATATATATATATATATATATATATATATATAATCGATTAATTTAAACTAGTGAGTAAGCATCTCGTGAATCACGAGTATATATAGATATATATATATATATATTATATATATATATATATATATATATATATATATATATATATATATATATATATATATATATATAGGGAAGTTATTTGGAAAACAAAAAAACCTAAAAAAACCCTAAAAATGCATAAAAAATACCTAGACATTACAATACTTTTTTTGAATTTTTTATCAAAAAATCGCAGCCTTTTTGACAATTTCGTTGAAAAAAAAAAATAAAAAATCAATTTTTTTTTATGTAAAAAAAAATTTCAAAAAAATTTCAGCGATTTTATGTTAAAAGCTATGATTTTTTGATAAAAAAATTCAAAAAAAAAGTTTTGTGATCTCTAAGTATTTTTTTATGCATTTTATGATTTTAGAGTTTTTTTAGGGTTTTTTTGTTTTCCATAGAACCTAAACCTATATATATATATATAATAGATATATATATATATATATATATATATATTATATATATATATATATATATATTGTATTTTTTCCGCTATTTCCTCAGATGCTAAACACATTCAATTCTAACTATCTCTAATATTATTAAAAGAGAATCTTTAATTCTTGAATGAAGCAATCAGGGCCGTTGATTGTATTTCAATCCTTTGTTTTTCACCCTTAGATCAAATTGCTGACATCATCTTTCCAAAATAGAATTCAAACACAATTACATTTAATTATAGAATTTTTAATAATTATAGAATATTTAAATTCAGCAATTATGTTATCAATTAAAGCATATCATTCTATTTATATACCAGATATCAATTTCTCTAATTAATATTGTTCCTAATTTAACTTCCTTATTTATAGCTTTTGGCTTCAAAATTTAAATCCGTTTAGTCTTTTTTTTTTTTTTGAAAAAACTCATTAAATAAGCATATCAATAATTCGGTTATTAACATATAAAATCTAATCTAATCTCATTAAATCAGCAAACTATTTGAGAGTTAAAATTAAAATCAATATTATTCATAATTTATCTCACAACATATCCCACAAAAAATTAATCAGTTTGAGATATTTGTTTGAATTTTAAATCTCATTAAATAAGCAAGCCAATTAATTTGAAATTTTGAATCAATATAACAAATATCTTAATTTTTTTTTTCTAAATGAATAGCCAAAAATCTCCAAGATAATATCTTAGGATCCCAATTTTTTTGGAAGATGATGATTTTTTTACTTTTCAAAATTTGGTGTCAAATTTTACTTTATAATGTCATTTTATATTGTATATTTATTTATTTATTTGGTTTTTATAGAAGCAAACAAATAAATGTAACACTCTGGGATAGGTATGCACAACAGTTTGTTAACTATTTGGAAAATAACAAACAAACTCCTATGGTAGTTGTTATTCAATACAGAAAAATATCTTATTGTAGAGGTTTGTTCATTACTCTGATTCACAACTTACACTTTAAAAAAAAATCAAAATATTATTCTTCATTTTACTATAAATGAATATACATTTATGCAAACTTCATTATGCATCGTTTCAGAACGGTTCTCCGTCACAAATTACTTCACCACGACTAGGATCTTTATCAATGATCCTATTTTAAAGCAACACAAATAACATCTTCTTTATTGTTAAGATTTCTTGCCAAAGCCAGTCCAGAAAGCACATATGCTAATTGTAGCAACGCTTTGTCCTCCATCCTCTACTCTGCAAATGACGATTTCCTTCATAAGTTTGATTTTCATGTTATTGCCGATCTCCAACAAGTAGATGAGGTTTATATACTTAACTTCCATTTATGAAATATACATTATGCTAAATAGTTTTTGGATTATTTTTACCCTCATATTTCATTTTACTTTTTTTTTATTATACAATCTAAACATATATCAATATTTATCATAAAAAAATATTGATTGTTGTCAGTACGATTAAGCATGTGTGTACTCTATAGTTCTTTCATGTCACAACAATAGGGCAGAAATAGGTGTTAGTGACCATTAAAGATGAAAATGTAAGATATAATTTAAGAATATTATATAAAGTGTAAATTGTAGATTTGTGATATTTATTTCTATGAAAAATATGTTGTTTGATTGGTAGGTTACATATCTGAGTCCCTTTTTTTGTAATTTAATTTTGACAAGTTTGATATAAATTTGATAATTGAAGCATGTATGAAAGATATGTGCTAATGATTTTGAATTTATAATGCCCTCCAGAAACCAACCGTAGCCTCACGGACCGCTCCCTCATATCTCAGTAGGTCTTAGCATTTCCCCAAATTCAGCTACAAGAAGTCATGGATGCACTTCTTGAATCAATCCACTAAACTGAATTTCATTTGTTAGTTGGATGTGGTGACCAAAATGCAAAATTTGTGAAAGTTCATTATAATTTATTAGTGTTAACCTTTGGCAAATTATGAAACTAATATTATTTTTTGTTCATAACATGTTTTTTCTGTAATAATTTCTTTAAGCGAAAGATATGTATATGTGAATGGGTGTAGCCTGAATAATCATATTTTAATTTTTATAAGGAAAAAATATTTTAAAAATTGAGCAAATTACATGTCTGAATTTGATGTTTATGGTTATGGCAATGCACTTTAATTGTAATGTTTATCGAATTTCCTTGCAGAATGTATGGCTGTTGGTACATATAACAACTTATTGTTGTTTTTGGTTTTATAGGGCCAATATGAAAAGAGCCATGCGAGCCTCCATGGAGGTTGGTACACCGAATAGAGTCAATTCATAAAGCTACTATACAACATGTTTTAATCAATGAGTCACATCATGTCGTGATAAAACAAAGATCATGTGGATCATTTATGTTAAAAATTACTGTATTAAAAAACCAAATTGCTCTAATATTAATATTTAATATTTCTATTTAACAAGTCTGGTTCAAAACTCTAAAAATGAATCTAACTAACATTTTTTATTAAAATTTCACCTAAGACAATGCCACCTATTAATGTGATATGTATTTAATTATGTTCCACGCGTTTAACGCGGGTCATAATCTAGTTACGTATTCTATACTTAAACGGATAATAAAGGACATGCCATAAATGGCATTAAACACAAACCACCTCCAATCTATTCGAATTTCTCCATTGCTATGGCATGCAACTCATGAATGAAGTTAGTTGGTAGTGTTTGGTATACGATAATACAAAAAAAGTGAAATGGAAAGGATCATAGAGATGGAACGGAATTTTTTTATTAGACATAGGAATGGAATGAAGCATTCTCAAGTGAATGTGATTCCTTATTAGGAATGGCAACGGGGCGGGTTCGGAGCGGGGCATGGTTTCCCAAACCCGCCCCGATATCTTTCGGGTATCTTATCGGGGCGCCCCATTGGGTTTCGAGTTTTTCCGTCGGGTTTCGGGTACCTTATCGGGTTTACAACAATTCATAACGAAATCTTTATTTCGTTTTAGGGTACCCCGAGGTCTTATAAAAAATACATGTTCTAGCCTCCCTTTTAAATTAAAAATATGATGAATCACTTTAATAAAATAAACTGGACGTTATATTAACAATTATTTGATTTAAGTTTAATGTAATACGTCAAAACATAAAAAATGATCATTCACACCAGATTGTTAATAACTAAAAAGATTGTCCACAGTAAATATTTTATCTTTGAATGCGTGCAATTAACATGAAAATGATTTGAACATATATATATATATATATATATATATATATATATATATATATATATATATATATACTCGGGGTGGGTCGGGTCGGGGCGATGATAACCCACTCCCTGCCCCGAACCCGACAAAAAACCCGATAACGATCCGTTATCTGACCCGAAATGATCGGGTTTCGGGTTTCCCCGTCGGATTCGGACTTTTTTGCCATCCCTATTCCTTATCAAGTTTGGTGACCTTATATTGCTTAATCCATCGTTTTTGCAAATTAATTTGGGCAAATCTATTACACATGCGAAGATACTCTTTACTACACTGGAATCCCTTAAGACAAAAATTCAATCCATTCCTAATTCTCTCTAAACGCTAGATTAAAAAAGAAACATGTAACTTCACAAGTAACAAAAGGAATAGATATACACCTTTCCATGGTTACTTTTATTTGCTTCCCATTCATTTGTAAACAGGAATCATCTATAACCTTGATGGCCCTTTAAATAATCCTGGAGCAATCATACTTCAACAAATAAGGAAGTTGTATGTTCATAACCTTAACTTGACACATAATATTGTATGAGGAAAACTGAGAGCACATGATTTGGAACAAAAGAAGATTAAATTGACAAAAGTACAAAAAAATTGCCATGTGGTCGATGGTTTATCACAGACACAATCCAATAGTTTTATTTTTTTTTTCCTTTTCCAGTCCTAAGACGATTTTCAATTTCCATATAAGTCCTTGGGCTCTATTAAAATCCATAATAATGACCATAATTTCCCCTTTATTTTCCTAGTAATCCAAAATATAGTGGTTTTTTTTTTTTTTTTTTTTTTTTTTTTTTTTTTTTAATTAGTGGCTCAAAAAAGGGTTAATTACGTGCACTATAACTTTTTTTTCCTTTCTAAAAAAGCTTTTATATGGCTTGAGGAATTCACAGTTGAGTGGTTGAATGGATTGATCATGTTTTATTAATGGTTCTGAGAGATTATTGAATGCAGTTGATGATGTTTTCATCTGTTAATTTGTTGTCATCCAAATTGGTGACATAGAAGACTATAGATGATGATGATGGTGG